ATAAATTTAAATTTTTATTAAAAAAAATTAAAAAATTACTTTTAAAAATGATAAAAAAAATGAATACAGAGTAAAAAAAATTTATAAAAAATAATAGTTTAAAACCTTTTAAAATTTATTGTTTAAAATTTTTTTAAGGTTATAAAAAAAATTAAAAAATATAAGCTTTTAAAAATAAAATTTAAACTTATAAAACATAAATAATATAAAAAAAATAAAAAAACTAAAACACTTATAAATTTCACCAAGCACGCTCTAAATTGAAAGTTATAATAAAGGTGACTGTTTATGTAGTTCACCCGAAACTCTATTCTGAATCAACAGCATACCATCGAACATAAAAGATAAAGCATGACTTTATCATAGTTAGGTTATAATGGACATTGCAAGACACATTTATAATTGAAAACTCACATCAATATTGAGATAAAAATTCAAAAGTCCGCACATAAAAAGACAGGACTGAAGGCAACTTTGTTCATCATGAGCAGAGGTCCTCTACATGTTAACAAAAGCTTTATTCAAAATTGTAGCTATACCCCACATTAATAAGAATTGCAGGGTTTTCCCACTTACAAACACGCTAGGTAAACAAAGAGATTGCCCATTTAAGAGAGGCAGGAGTACGCCAGAGCCTTCTCCGCGGAGAGCTCCTCTGCTGTCAAATCTAGCTTCTTCCTTGAGAATTGATCAATGTGAAGCCCTGCTCCAAAACAGACAGCATAGTATATTTAGAGTTTCAATAAAAATAGAAAGAGGAATTCATGATAGACACAAATTAGTAATTGCATTTTCAACTATTTTAGATAAGAACCACCAACAACTAGTGAAATGTAATGGGAATTATTTGCAATTTTCTTACCTTGGACAATAGTCCATTCCCCATTCTTACAGGTTACTGGGAAGGAATAAATAAGCCCAGCTGGCACATTGTATGAACCATCAGAGTAAACACCCATTGAAACCCATGTGCCCTAGTGGTCAAAAGAGTTAAAATGTGGGATCAATATCATTCAACATATCTTCAAAGAACAGCCAACAATTTTACCAACCTCTGGAGTTCCAAGGACCCAATCACGGATGTGATCACAAGCTGAACTAGCAGCAGACAATGCACTTGAGAGCTTTCTAGCTTTGATGATAACAGCACCACGTTGTTGAACAGTAGTTATGAATTCTCCATTCAACCTTTGATCAGTGAGTAGAAGCAAAATGATGATCCATAAAACTCAAACCAAATAAAGAAATTTACAAATTAAAAGAGTTTTTTTTTTTATATTTTTTTTCTTTACCATTCATCATCCTTCACAAGCCCACGTACAGCCCTCTGCCCAGGTAGAGTCTTGACAGTTGCATGGTTGACATCAGGGTACTGAGTTGATGAGTGATTACCCCAGATAATCACATTCTTAACATCAGAAACTTGGACATTTAGTCTCTCTGAGATTTGTCCCAGTGCCCTGTTATGATCCAATCTGGTCAAGCATGTAATATTCTTAGCAGGGATTGAAGGTGCAAATTCCTTCAGGATCAATGCATTAGTGTTGGCAGGGTTAGCAACAACCAGAACCTGAAATAGACAGGAGTCATATGCAAGCAGAAAAAGGGCAGTCAATAGATGAAATCATTATCTACAAATATAGAAAACTTTCAAGGTCCATTTAATTGCAGAAGTAATACTAATTAATATATGGTATTCAGACTAAACACTTAGTCAAGGATCCAACAAGATCAGTGGCTTCCACCTATTCAGAACTATGAGAATAACAGTTGCAATTAAATAATATTATGCATGAGATAAAAAAAGAACCATAAAATGCAAATGAAAAAGTTACACTTCCCCCCTGATTCCAAATGCTTAAGATTTCCTTCATATTGATATATTTTTAACTCACCTTGCAGTTGGGAGCTGCATATTGTTCCAGGGCAGAAGCTTGGGACTTGTAGATTGAGACATTCTTAGACATCACATCTTTTCTCTCCATGCCTTCCTTCCTTGGGAAACCACCAACCATGATTGCAATGCTGACTCCAGTGCATCCCTCAATAACATCAGTAGTAGCAACAACACCTAATAAACAATTTTGGTCAAATCTCGTAAAACATATTCCCACAAATCTAAAATGTACCACAACAGTTTTTTTTCAACTTCAATATTTCAACCAGATGAATACCCTTAAGAAGGGGGAATGCAGCGTCCACCAACTCCATTTTCACTCCATTTAAAGCCTCCGCAGCAGGTGGGATATCAAGCATGTGCAAGATTACAGGCTGGTCTGGACCTAGCATGACTCCCCTAGCAATCATGGGTACAAGAGCATATCCAATTTGTCCTGCAAATAAGACAATGTTCCTTGATGTATTTCTTCCAACAAAAGGAATGACAGGGAATGCAAAGAAAGTACGTAATATGACCATGAATTAAAAAAAATAAAAATAAAAATGACCTTTCCATGTTAAGCTCACTTAACTCCTTTCTAGAGAATAGTGATTTTATCATCCAAAACAAATAAAACTGAAGGAACAAAACACTCTGTTCCCTTAATTTCTTAGCACAGAATCAAAAAATTCAAAATAGGTCCCAAAACAGCCCCGAGATATGCTTCTATGGAGTACAGAATAACGCTTGAAAGTAACTAGATTGAAGCTCCTCCATCATGGTGGTCAATTATAAGTTTTAGCAATTGATGACACACAGATATAAGAACATAATTCATAGAAATATGCAGTCTGGATCAAGATTCAACTTTAATCAGCCAAATCACCTCCAGTAAACCAACATACATATTCCTATAATCTTATTAGTTACTAATATCCTTGCTCGTTTAATCGTTGTAAACTCAGATCATCCATCACCACTAATATCAACTATTCAATAATCAACAAAACATCCTTCAACTAAACTCATAAGTCTTTCTAACAGTCATAAACGAAACCAGAGATGAGTATTAGATCAACCATTCAATCTAAACAGCATAAAATCAAGCAAGCAAACAGATCACCAAAAATTTACAGGAATACCATTAAAACCAGAATATAATATGGTAGATCAATAGATCTGAAGGGCAGATACACAGACGAACGAGAAACTATTGGATCTGAAGGGCAGATACACAGACGAACGAGAAACTATTGGATCTGAAGGGCAGATACACAGACGAACGAGAAACTATTGGATCTGATATTGAATCGAGGAGAAATGCAGAAGAAAAATGATGATTAAAGATCCGAAACACAACAGTATAACAAATAGTACCTGCAGCACCAGTAACAAGAACGCGAACAGGTTGCTTCGCCATTGCCGGAGATCAAAGAGAAGTTAAGCAGTCGCCGGAGATGAAGGGTTAGTAGAGTGAGCTGAATGGGAAGAGGCGTTGAAAGACGAGGAGATATTTATAA